TGTAACAAAGACTTAATCGTTTTCACATGGGATTGACAAAAGTACTCCAGAATGGCAAGTGGTTTTAACTCCAGAGTGACAAAACACTTTGTAGAGTCAGATAGGAAGGGGTAAATAGGGACACAGCCAGGGTGGGGTGAAGATATGGTCTAACTGCTTTGTGATAGGAGTTGTTTAGTCCTCATTGTGAGAGGATATGCAGAAAGCCTGGGGGAGGGTGGGGTGATCAGCAACACAATAACTTTTATTGTGGCAATATGTTGTTCTTCCATGTGTCTTCGGGCCAGTGTGTCTTTTCTATGTGAAACTTCCTAGTGTTCCAAAAGTCATTCTGACCTCTTAAAATCATGTTTGACTCTAGATATCAAATATGAACATATGAAACCCCATATTGAGTGAGAGGGATGATATCCTCCAGGGTGCTCTCTCAGGTTTCAGCCCTTTTGGTTTTCATTGGCAGTTTCTTCCTGTTGGTTCTATAGGATCAATTCTTCCTGTTCTGTCATGAAGCCCTTGTATTCTTTGATGTGTTAGTGCATCTTGACATGTAGATGTAGTGCATTGACAGTGCATTGACCTCCTCTTCCAAGAGAGCTACTGGTTTGCACTTGTTGCAAATGTAGTCCATGAAGTTTGCTGGCAAGAAGATAAAACATTGAACACACACTGCAGCAGACAACAACAGACCTCCTGCCTCCATCCATGCAGTTGCTTTTTCACCTCTTTAAGACTCTAAGAACTCTTACTGATATGACTGTGTCTACTGCAAGATCTGTGCTCTTGGCCCTCACAGACTAGGTTCCAAAGACTAAGGCAGCAATTATCTAGGACTTGTGGATCCCCCCCACAATAAATCAGTGACTCAGCAAACACCCCATCTTAGACCATGTGCTCAGGACATCACACAGCCAAAACAAAACACACATACACACACATCAGCTTAAAAAATAACACAGTCAAAGAGTCAAGGATGACCCCCTCCCCCCCAACACAGCTCACCTTCTGCTCTCTCACAGAGACACTGGCTGCACTGCAGTGAACTCTTTCTGGATATCTACACCAGGCCCTTCCATCCATACATCTCATGACACCAGTATCTCTGTTTGATCATTTGAGTGTATACATCCTGCCCTCTTACCTTTGAGTAGGAGGAGGGTTGTTCCTCACCCAGGCACTTTCAGCTGCAAACCTTATACAGTTGGCTCTTGGTATCCACTGGGGTTTGGTTCCAGGACCCACTATGGATACCAAAATCCATGGATGCTCTGGTCCTATTGAATATAATGGCACAGTAAAATGGTGTCCCTTATATAAAATGGCAAGATCAAGGTTTGCTTTTGGAATGCATATATTTAAGAAATATTTTCAATCTGTGGATGCTTGAATCTGTGGATTAAAAAAAACAACAATGGATATGGAGGGCTGACTGCACCTGCCTATGTCTATTTTTGGTCACTGCAGACCAAATTTCCTCTCTCCCTGCATTCCCTTCCAATACAACAATCATAGTCTCTCATCTGGACCTACTATAAAGCCATTGAAACACCATCATCCCACAGCCGTTCCATGCCTTGGGAAGAACAAGGGAAATCACAGAAGTTCATGCTATGTCCCTATAAGTATCCTAACAATATCCCTCCTCTGGGGTATCCCAGTGGGCCTCAGCAGATGATGCAATTGCTTTATACCTCCCCACCCAGCTCTCCATGGAATATCCCTGGTGAGGTTCGGCGGCTTACAGGATGGTGATCAATAGCTCAGAACAGTTCCAAATGCAGAACTGCTACTTTACACTGAGCCATGCAGGACTGCAAGCATTGTGTGATTTTTAAAAAGTACCCCAGTGGTAAAATGCAGTAGACTTGGCAATGTTTGTTTCAACTGTTTTTTAAAATTTTTTTATTTTTTATTTTTTTACTGGTGTACGGCAGGTACCCAAACTCAGGGACATTATTTAAAAAACCTGCAGTGATATCACAAAGTGCTAACCCTGTAGGCCTAGTTCTTGGTGAATTCTGCAGAAAAAAGTGATTCTAAGTACTAAAATGCCCCCTCCTCATCTGACAGGAATAGGGTTAAAATCTCTCCCTTAGCTTGTTCTATGAGGGGAGGACATGCAGATACCTCTACAGTGGGCCCTTGGTATCCACTGGAGTTTGATTCCACACCCCCTATGGATACTAAAATCGGTGGATGCCCAAGTCCTGTTATATACAATGGCATAGTAAAATAGTGTCCCTTATACAAAATAGCAAAATCAAGGTTTTGCCTCAACAGAACAATATACACATTTACATGCTAATCTTCTCAACCCAGGGTCACACAGTATATATACCCCTCACACCTCCATGCCACCATTCTCTGAAGATACCATCCACAGATGCAGGTGAAACGTCAGTAATACATTTTTCTAGAACACAGCCTCACAGCCCAAAAACCCCACAAAAACCTATGGA